GTACATCATTGTAAGTAAGATACAATCCACAACATGATGCGTCTGTCTGTTTCCAATTACAGTCCAGTGTTTAATATGATATATATGATATGTACCAAACTGACAGTAGAGTCCAGTGTATAATATAATATAATATAATATGATATGTACCAAACTGACAGTAGAGTCCAGTGTATAATATAATATAATATAATATGATATGTACCAAACTGACAGTAGAGTCCAGTGTTTAATATGATATGTACCAAACTGACAGTAGAGTCCAGTGTTTAATATAATATGAAATGCACCAATCTGACAGTAGAGTCCAGTGTATAATATGATATGTACCAATCTGACAGTTAAGTCCAGTGTATAATATAATATGATATGTACCAATTCGACAGTAGAGTCCAGTGTATAATTGAGCAATAAGGCCCGAGGGGGTGTGGTATATATTCAATATACCACGGCTAAGGGCTGTTCTTAAGCACGACACAACGCGGAGTGCCTGGATAAATCCCTTAGCCGTGTTATATTGACCATATACCACAAACCCCTGAGGTGCCTTATTGCTATTATAAACTGGTTACCAACGTAATTAGAGTAGTAAAAATAAATGTTTTGTCATACCTGTGGTATACGGTCTGATATACCACGGCTGTCAGCCAATCAGAATCCAGTTTATAATATGATATGATACGTACCAAACTGACAGTAGAGTCCGGTGAAGCCTGAGGGGCAGTCACAGGTCCCATTCACTTCCACACAGACGCCACCATTCTGGCACAGACACTCCTCTGTGGATGACAGACACAGACAGAAGAGAAGAGGTCACAGACACTGACTCAAAAGTTCAAAGCCACAAAACAGCTCATAGCCTGTTGGGTCACTTGCTACAGGATGACAGAGGTAGCCATTTATAAGCTACATGTACAACCTCAGAGGTCTGTAACACATGTTTTGAGAGGCAGCTTCAACAGTATCCCAGTCCCAGAGAACATCAACAGTATCCTAGTCCCAGAGAACATCAACAGCACCCCAGTCCCAGAGAACATCAACAGCACCCCAGTCCCAGAGAACATCAACAGTACCCCAGTCCCAGAGAACATCAACAGTACCCCAGTCCCAGAGAACATCAACAGTACCCCAGTCCCAGAGAACATCAACAGCACCCCAGTCCCAGAGAACATCAACAGTACCCCAGTCCCAGAGAACATCAACAGTACCCCAGTCCCAGAGAACATCTACAGTATCCCAGTCCCAGAGACCATCAACAGTACCTCAGTCCCAGAGAACATCAACAGTATCCTAGTCCCAGAGAACATCAACAGCACCCCAGTCCCAGAGAACATCAACAGTACCCCAGTCCCAGAGAACATCAACAGTACCCCAGTCCCAGAGAACATCAACAGCACCCCAGTCCAGAGAACATCAACAGTATCCTAGTCCAGAGAACATCAACAGTTACCCAGTCCCAGAGAACATCAACAGTATCCCAGTCCCAGAGAACATCAACAGTACCCTAGTCCCAGAGACCATCAACAGTAACCCCAGTCCCAGAGAACATCAACAAGTATCCCAGTCCCAGAGAACATCAACCAGTATCCCAGTCCCAGAGAACATTCAACAGTATCCCTAAGTCCCAGAGAACATCACACAGCCACCCCAGTCCCACGAGAACATCAACAGCATCCCCTAGTCCCAGAGAACATCAACAGTATCCCTAGTCCAAGAGAACATTCAACAGTATCCCAGTCCCAGGATAACATCAACAGTACCCCAGTCCCAGTAACATCAACAGTACCCCAAGTCCCAGAGAACATCAAACAGCACCCAGTCCCAGGAGAACATTCAACAGTACCCCTAGTCCCAGAGAACATCAACAGCACACCCCAGTCCCCAGAGACCATTCAACAGTATCCTAGGTCCCAAGAGAACATCAAACAGTATCCTAGTCCCAGACGAAGAGAACATCAACAGGCACCCCAGTCCCAGAGACCATTCAACAGTCTCCTAGTCCCAGAGAACATCAACCGTTATCCTAGTCCCAGAGAACATCAACAGTATCCCAGTCCCAGAGAACATCAACAGTACCCCAGTCCCAGAGAACATCAACAGTACCCCAGTCCCAGAGAACATCAACAGTATCCTAGTCCCAGAGAACATCAACAGTACCCCAGTCCCAGAGAACATCAACAGTACCCCAGTCCCAGAGAACATCAACAGTATCCCTAGTCCCAGAGAAACATCAAACAGTACCCCCAGTCCCAGAGAACATCAACAGTATCCTAGTCCCAGAGAACATCAACAGTATCCCAGTCCCAGAGAACATCAACAGTACCCCAGTCCCAGAGAACATCAACAGCACCCCAGTCCCAGAGAACATCAACAGCACCCCAGTCCCAGAGAACATCAACAGCACCCCAGTCCCAGAGAACATCAACAGCACCCCAGTCCCAGAGAACATCAACAGCACCCCAGTCCCAGAGAACATCAACAGCACCCCAGTCCCAGAGAACATCAACAGCACCCCAGTCCCAGAGAACATCAACAGCACCCCAGTCCCAGAGAACATCAACAGTATCCTAGTCCCAGAGAACATCAACATTGAAGGTATAGCTAGACGGCCAACATGTGTTCTCTGTCTGTCTGTCTGTCTGTCTGTCTGTCTGTCTGTCTGTAATAAAGCCTGTTATTCTTCAACACCACCTCATCACAATATGTCCCATTGATTCAGGACCATTAATCTTCTCTACATCTTTATCTCATAGCTAGTTCTAGTTCACAGGACCAGACCATTCATTTACATTACATTATTCATACATTATATTTACATACCAACTGAGCTACAGGGGACTTTCCCAGACCATTCCCAGTCACTTTGTCAGTCAGTCAGCAGGCTGCATGTCCCCTTCCTTCAGTCCAAACTGGAAGAATGATTTTTATTTTCCTCTCTCTGCCTCCTACTTGCAGCAGTTTGGATCAATGGAAATTGCTGTATCACCGCTAAATAAAGGAAGTGGCTGTATCACCGCTAAATAAAGGAAGTGGCTGTATCACCGCTAAATAAAGGAAGTAGCTGTATCACCGCTTAAATAAAGGAAGTGGCTGTATCACTGCTAAATAAAGGAAGTGGCTTGTCATCACTGCTAAATGAAGGAAGGAGTGGCTGGTTCACTGCTAAATAAGGAAGTGGCTGTATCACCGCTAAATAAAGGAAGTGGCTGTATCACTGCCTAAATAAAGGAAGTGGCCTGGTATCACTGCTAAATAAAGGAAGGGCTGTATCACTGCTAAATAAAGGAAGTGGCTGTATCACCGCTAAATAAAGGAAGTGGCTGTTATCACCGCTAAATAAAGGAAGTGGCTGTATCACTGCTAAATAAAGGAAGTGGCTGTATCACCGCTAAATAAAGGAAGTGGCTGTATCACCGCTAAATAAAGGAAGTGGCTGTATCAACCGCTAAATAAAGGAAGTGGCTGTATCACCGCTAAATAAAGGAAGTGGCTGTATCACCGCTAAATAAAGGAAGTGGCTGTATCACTGCTAAATAAAGGAAGTGGCTGTATCACCGCTAAATAAAGGAAGTGGCTGTATCACCGCTAAATAAAGGAAGTGGCTGTATCACCGCTAAATAAAGGAAGTGGCTGTATCACGCTAAATAAAGGAAGTGGCTGTATCACCGCTAATAAAGGAAGTGGCTGTATCACCGCTAAATAAAGGAAGTGGCTGTATCACCGCTAAATAAAGGAAGTGGCTGTATCACCGCTAAATAAAGGAAGTGGCTGTATCACCGCTAAATAAAGGAAGTGGCTGTATCACCGCTAAATAAAGGAAGTGGCTGTATCACCGCTAAATAAAGGAAGTGGCTGTATCACTGCTAAATAAAGGAAGTGGCTGTATCACCGCTAAATAAAGGAAGTGGCTGTATCACCGCTAAATAAAGGAAGTGGCTGTATCACCGCTAAATAAAGGAAGTGGCTGTATCACTGCTAAATGAAGGAAGTGGCTGTTTCACTGCTAAATAAAGGAAGTGGCTGTATCACTGATAAATAAAGGAAGTGGCTGTATCACTGCTAAATAAAGGAAGTGGCTGTATCACCCGCTAAATAAAGGAAGTGGCTGTATCACTGCTAAATAAAGGAAGTGGCTGTATCACCGCTAAATAAAGGAAGTGGCTGTATCACTGCTAAATAAAGGAAGTGGCTGTATCACTGCTAAATAAAGGAAGAGGCTGTTTCACTGCTAAATAAAGGAAGTGGCTGTATCACTGCTAAATAAAGGAATATTTACATTTTTCTCTCCTCTCTCTGCCTCTGAATTGCAGCAGTGAGGATCAAAGGAAGTGGATATATCACTGCTAAATGACTTCCCTTTGAAGTCAGGGGGGATCGGAGAAAAGAGGACGGCTGGGTGTTCTTTTTCTGATGATATGGAACATGTTTTGTGGGCTGCGTCCCGAATTTCACCCTATTTCCTATATAGTGTACTTTTTTGACCAAACAAAGGGCCCTGTCATAGTAGTGGCACTTTACAGGGATGTGCATGGGATACATGTGCAATGGAGCATGCCCGTGGCCAATCTAACGTTAAGGGGTATAGCGAGAGCGTTCACACCTGGTCTAGATGCTGTGTGTTGGTTTCTCTGTTTAAGCGGGGGAAGGGACCGCCGAGGCAGGCGATCCGCACTGCTCCGCCCTGTAAGGCGCTGCCTCTCCGGGGAGTGGAAATGGGTCTACTTCCCGGGCCTTATTCTTCGGAAAAAGGGGAGTAGACGTACAAGGAGAGGGAGGATCACGAAGAATGCGTGTTGCCCGAGAAGGAGAGAGAGAGGGAGAGGGAGAAGGCCGATGAGAAGGACCGAGAGGAAAGAGTTAGTAGTGAGAGAGCCGTACAGACATGACAGAGCGAAAGGAAAGAAAGGCGAGACGAACGAAGGATCAGAGAGACCATGAGAGAGCAGAAGCGAGCAGACGGAGAGCGAGGAAGAAAGAACAGGAGAAGGATAAGAGAGAAGAAGCCAGAGAAGGGCGAGAGAGAGAAGCGAGCAAGGAGAGAGACAAGGGAGTGAGAGAGAAGGAAGGAAAGAAGAAGGAGAAAGAAGGAGAGGAGAGGGAAGAGAGAAGGGAGAGGGAGAAGAGAGAAGGAGAGAGAGAAGGAGAGAGAGAGAAGGAGAGAGAAGGAGGAAGGAAAGAACAGAGGGGAGAAAGAAGGAGAGGGAGAAGGAAAAAAGAGAAGAGTGAGAGAGAAGGAGAGAGAGCAGAAGGAAGAAGAAGGAGGAGAAGAAGAGAGAGAAGGAAAGAGAGAGGGAGGCGAAGGAAGAGGAAGGAGAGCGGAGAGAGGAGAGACCGCAGAGGGACGAAGAAGGAGAGCGAGCAGAGGAAGGAAAAGAAGCAGAGAGCATGGGAGAGGAAGGCAGAGCGAAGAGGAGAGAGATCTCTCATCATCTCCCTACTATCTTCATCCTCTTTCTCTCTACTTCCTCCCTCTCTGCTCTTATCTCTCTCCTTCTTTCTCTCCTTCCCTCTCTCCTTCCCTCTCTTCTGCTACTTTCTCTCTACCTCAACCCACATGTACATATTTCCTCAATTACCTTGACTAACCTGTACCCCTGCACATTGACTCTGTACCGGTAACCCCTGTATATAGCCTCGCTACTTATCTATTTTTTACTTAACCCTTATTTTTTCTTAAAACTGCATTGTTGGTTAAGGGCTTGTAAGTAAGCATTTCACTGTAAGGTCTACACCTGTTGTATTCGGCGCATGTGACAAACAACATGTGATTTGATTTGATTTGATCCTACTCCTTTTTCCACAGGGCCTTCCAAGTGAGCCAAGCAGGAAAGTATTTGGGCGATTTAGGAGAGTCTATATAAGCCTTGAGAGTTTCTTCAGCTCAAGGGTGAGGAGTAGCATGGATTTGCAATGGCTCACATACTATTAAAGAGCTTTTGGGGCTGAGAAATAAATCTGTGTTGACCGTGGCTACAGGACTTCAGCCTCGGTGGGGGAAACCAACATCCCACGGGAGAACCTACCCACCAGTTTTGAAAACACATTGTCCATTTACTAACACACACATAGCTAACTAACACACACATAGTCTGCATCCCAAATGATACCCCATTCCCTATTTAGTGCACTACTCTTGACCAGGGCCTATAGGAAATAGGGTACCATTTGGGATGCATGGTACAGTATGATATTTCCCTCTAAGGAGGTGAAATAGTATTAGAGGTAGTAGTACAATAACACAGGATGTGTCATGTGGTTTATGCAGCAAGCAGCTGTTCCATAGAGCAGACAGGAGGAACGTAGAGCAGACAGGAGGACCATAGAGCAGACAGGAGGACCATAGAGCAGACAGGAGGACCATAGAGCAGACAGGAGGACCATAGAGAGCAGACAGGAGGACCATAGAGCAGACAGGAGGACCATAGAGCAGACAGGAGGACCATAGAGCAGACAGGAGGACAGTTCGTATTAGAGCAGACAGGAGGACCATAGAGCAGACAGGAGGACCATAGAGCAGACAAGAGGACCATAGAGCAGACAGGAGGACCATAGAGCAGACAGGAGGACCATAGAGCAGACAGGAGGACCATAGAGCAGACAGCTGTTCCATAGAGCAGACAGGAGGACCATAGAGCAGACAGGAGGACCATAGAGCAGACAGGAGGACCATAGAGCAGACAGGAGGACCATAGAGCAGACAGGAGGACCATAGAGCAGACAGGAGGACCGTAGAGCAGACAGGAGGACCATAGAGCAGACAGGAGGACCATAGAGCAGACAGGAGGACCGTAGAGCAGACAGGAGGACCACAGAGCAGACAGGAGGACCATAGAGCAGACAGGAGGACCGTAGAGCAGACAGGAGGACCGTTATAGAGCAGACAGGAGGACCATAGAGCAGACAGGAGGACCATAGAGCAGACAGGAGGACCGTAGAGCAGACATGAGGACCATAGAGCAGACAGGAGGACCGTTAGAGCAGACAGGGAGGACCAGTTAAGAGGCAGACAGGAGGACCATAGAGCAGACAGGAGGACCATAGAGCAGACAGGAGGACCATAGAGCAGACAGGAGGACCACAGAGTTGTGCCATGGACCTCATCCAGAGGAGTAAGTGGCAGAGTCAGTGCTGAGTTTGGCAGAGTCAGTGCTGAATTTGGCAGAGCCAAATTGCACCATATTTCCCATAGTGCACTACCTTTGACTAGCAGTAGTAGGAACTAGGGACTAGGGTGCCATTTGGGATACAATTAGAGTCCTCTGGTCAAAAGCAGTGCACTATGTAGGGAATAGGGTGCCATTTGGGACACAAAATGTCAGAGTTTCCTGGTCAAAAGTAGTGCACTATATAAGGAATAGTTTGCCACTGCTCTGCGCTACTCTGCTGCCCTGCTGCCAGGCATGTTATACCAGACCCTGTCCGATGAAACTACCTGAATAAATACCAACCATCAGCTCCAGCCTAGACAGAGGCTCCTGTCCTTTCAAGTCTAGACAAAGCGGCACTTCCCCTTGTAAGTAAACTAATAAAATGCGCCATAAAGCAATTATTCCCAAAATGGACTGTTGTTCCCCCAGGTTCCCGTAGTAAACTGTGCGGTACAGATGAACATCCTCCATCATCACAGCAGAACAGGGTGGACCAGACAGTCTTTTCCCTCTTCCAGGGTACTGAGGCACATTCCTGTGGGATCAAACCGAATCACAACAGGTGTAGACTAACAGTGAAACTGCTTTACTTCACAACAATGCAGAGAAAACAATAGAACAATTATAGAAAGATAACAACACAAATAATATATAGACGCTGAGTAACGATAACTTGGATATATTCACGGGTTACCAGTACTGAGTCGATATGCAGGGGTACGAGGTAATTGAGGTAGATATGTACATATACACTACCAGTCAATAGTTTGGACACACCTACTCATTCCAGGGTTTTTCTTTATTTTTTACTATTTTCTACATTTGTAGAATAATTGTGAAGACATCAAAACTATGAAATAACACATATGGAATCATGTAGTAACCAAAAAAAGTGTTAAACAAATCAAAATATATTTTATATTTGAGATTCTTCAAATAGCCACCCTTTGCCTTGATGACAGCTTTGAAAACACTTGGCACTCTCAACCAGCTTCCTGAGGTAGTCACCTGGAATGCATTTCAATTAACAGGTGTACCTTCTTAAAAGTTAATTTGTGGAATTTCTTTCCTTCTTAATGCGTTTGAGCCCTATTTGGTAAAAGACCAAGTCCATATTATGGCAAGAACAGCTCAAATAAGCAAATAGAAATGACAGTCAATCATTACTTTAAGACATGAAGGTCAGTCAATACAGAACATTTCAAGAACTTTGAATGTTTCTTCAAGTGCAGTCGCAAAAACCATCAAGCGCTATGATGAAACTGGCTCTCATGAGGACCGCCACAGGAATGGAAGACCCAGAGTTACCTCTGCAGCAGAGGATACGTTCATTAGAGTTACCAGCCTCAGAAATTGCAGCCCAAATAAATGCTTCACAGAGTTCAAGTAACAGACACATCTCAACATCAACTGTTCAGAGGACACAGTGTGAATCACGCTTTCATGGTCAAATTGCTGCAAAGAAATCACTAATAAAGGACATCAATAAGAAGAAGAGACTTGCTTGGGCCAAGAAACATGAGCAATGGACATTAGACCGGTGGAAAATTGTCCTTTGGTCTGGAGTCCAAATTTGAGATTTTTGGTTCCAACCGCCGTGTCGTTGTGAGACGTGGTGTGGATGAACGGATGATCTCCGCATGTGTATTTCCCACCGTAAAGCATGGAGGAGGAGGTGTTATTGTGTGGGGGTGCTTTGCTGGTGACACTGTCCGTGATTAATTTAGAATTCAAGGCACACTTACCGTAACCAGCGTGGCTACCAAAGCATTCTGCAGCGATACGCCATCCCATCTGGTTTGGGCTTAGTGGGACTGTCATTTGTTTTTCAACAGGACAATGACCCAACACACCTCCAGGCTGTGTAAGGGCTATTTGACCAAGAAGGAGAGGGATGGAGTGCTGCATCAGATGACCTGGCCTCCACAATCCCCCGACCTCAACCCAATTGAGATGGTTTTGGATGAGTCGGACCGCAGAGAGTGAAGGAAAAGCAGCCAACAAGTGCTCAGCATATGTGGGAACTCCTTCAAGACTGTTGGAAAAGCATTCCAGGTGAAGCTGGTTGAGAGAATGCAAAGAGTGTGCATGACCATAGAGGAGCAGCATGACTATTTCTATTTGTATTTATTATGGATCCTCATTAGTTCCTGCCAAGGCAGCAGCTACTCTTCCTGGGGTTTATTATGGATCCCCATTAGTTCCTGCCAAGGCAGCAGCTACTCTTCCTGGGGTCCAGCAAAATCAAGGCAGTTATATACAAATTGTAAAACATTACAATCCATTCATTACAGAATTCACAACACACTAAGTGTGTGCCCTCAGGCCCATACTCCACTACCACCCATCTACAACACAAAATCCATGTGTACGTGTGTGTGTGTTGTGTATGTTATCATGTGTGTGTATGCATGTGTCTGTGCCTATGTTTGTGTTGCTTCACGGTCCCCGCTGTTCCATAAGGTGTATTTTTATTTGTTTTTTAAAATCTGATTCTACTGCTTGCATGAGTTACCTGATGTGGAATAGAGTTCCATGTAGTCATGGCTCTATGTAGTACTGTGCGCCTCCCATAGTCTGCTCTGGACTTGGGGACTGTGAAGAGACCTCTGGTGGCATGTCTTGTGGGGTATGCATGGGTGTCTGAGCTGTGTGCTAGTAGTTTTAAACAGACAGCTCGGTGCTTTCAACATGTCAAGACCTCTCGCAAATACAAGTAGTGACAAAGTCAATCTCTCCTCCACTTTGAGCCAGGAGAGATTGACATGCATATTATTAATGTTTGCACTCTGTGTACATCCAAGGGCCAGCCGTGCTGCCCTGTTCTGAGCCAATTGCAATTTTCCTAAGTCCCTCTTTGTGGCACCTGACCACACGACTGAACAGTAGTCCAGGTGCGAAAAAACTAGGGCCTGTAGGACCTGCCTTGTTGATAGTGCTGTTAAGAAGGCAGAGCAGCGCTTTATTATTGAGGGGGACCAAGTTAAATAAAAACATTTAAATAAAAAAGTAATAATATACACATTTGAACAACTGCAACAGTGATTAATGTCATTGGGGTGGGGGCAGAGTTAAAGTCCGTTGGGGGGAGGGGTGGAATGTCCATAGGGGGAGGCTCCTCTGAGATGTGTATGCCAAGGAATTTGATGTTATTGACCGTCTCCACAGCGGTTGATGAGGATGGGGGCATGTCCAGCATGGTTCCTCCTGAAATCCACAATCAGCTCCTTTGTTTTGCTGACGTTGAGGGAGAGGTTGTTTACCTGGCACCACGCCGTCAGACTGACGTTGAGGGAGAGGTTGTTTAACTGGCACCACCTGTACTGACCTCGCCTTCTGGACGATAGCGAGGTGAACAGGCAGTGGCTCGGGTGGTTGTTGTCCTTGATGATCTTTTTGGCCTTCCTGTGACAAAGGGTGCTTTAGGTGTCCTGGAGGTCTAGTTTGCCCCCGGTAATGCGTTCGGCAGACCGCACCACCCTCTGGAGAGCCCTGCGGTTGCGGGCGGTGCAGTTGCCGTACCAGGCGGTGATACAGCCTGACGCTGTTGCGCCTTCTTCACCACACTGTCTGAGTAGGTGGACCATCTCAGATTGTCAGTGATGTGTAAGCCGAGGAACTTGAAGCTTTCCACCTTCTCCACTGTGGTCCCGTCGATGTGGATAGGGGCGTGCTCCCTCTGCTGTTTCCTGAAGTCCACGATCAGCTCCTTTGTTTTGTTGACATTGAGTGAGAGGCTATTTTCCTGGCACCACACTCCCAGGGCCCTCACCTCCTCCCTGTAGGCTGTCTCGTCATTATTGGTAATCAGGCCTACTATTGTTGTGTCGTCTGCAAACTTGATGATTGAGTTGGAGGCGTGCTTGGCCACGCAGTCATGGGTGAACAGGGAGTACAGGAAGGGGCTGAGAATGCACCCTTGTGGGCCCCTGTGTTGAGGATCAGCGAAGTGGAGGTGTTGTTTCCTACCTTCACCACCTTGGGGCGGCCAGTCAGGAAGTCCAGGACCCAGTTGCACAGGGCGGGATTCAGACCCAGGGCCTCGAGCTTAATGATGAGCTTGGAGGGTACTATGGTGTTGAATGCTGAGCTATAGTCAATGAACAGCATTCTTACATAGGTATTCCTCTTGTCCAGATGGGATAGGGCAGCGTGCAGTGCGATGGTGATTGCATCGTCTGTGGATCTATTGGGGAGGTAAGCAAATTTAAGTAGGTCTTGGGTGACAGGTAAGGTAGAGGTGATATGATCCTTAACTAGCCTCTCAAAGCACTTCATGATGACAGAAGTGAGTGCTACGGGGTGATAGTCATTTAGTTCAGTTACCTTTGCTTTCTTGGGAACAGGAACAATGGTGGACATCTTGACGCAAGTGGGGACAGCAGACTGGGAAAGGGAGAGATTAATATGTCTGTAAAAACTCCAGCCAGCTGGTTTGGGCATGCTATGAGGACGCGGCTAGGGATGCCGTCTGGGCCGGCAGGCTTGCGAGGGTTAACACGCTTAAATGTCTTATTCACGTCGGCCACGGAGAAGGAGAGGCCACAAGCCTTGGTAGGGGGCCGTGTCGGTGGCACTGTGTTAACCCCGAAGAAGGTGTTTAGCTTGTCCGGAAGCAAGACGTCGGTGTCCGCGACGTGGCTGGTTTTCCCTTTGTAGTCCGTGATTGTCTATAGACCCTGCCACATACGTCTCGTGTCTGAGCCGTTGAATTGCGACTCCACTTTGTCTCTATACTGACGTTTTGCCTGTTTGATTGCCTTACGGAGGGAATAACTACACTGTTTGTACTCTGCCATATTCTCAGTCACCTTGCCATGGTTAAATATGGTGGTTCGTGCTTTCAGTTTTGCGCGAATACTGCCATCTATCCACGGTTTCTGGTTTGGGTAGGTTTTAATAATCACAGTGGGTACAACATCTCCTATACACTTTCTGATGAACTCAGTCACCTTATCCATGTATTTGTCAATGTTATTCTCAGAGGCTACCCGGAACAAATCCCAGTCCGCGTGATCAAAACAATCTTGAAGCATGGATTCCAATTGGTCAGACCAGCGTTGAAAAGTCCTTAGCACGGGTACTTCCTGTTTGAGTTTCTGCCTATAGGAAGGGAGGAGCAAAATGGAGTCGTGATCAGATTTGACGAAGGGAGGGCAGGGGAGGGACTTGTAGGCATTTTGAAAAGCTGAGTAGCAGTGGTCTAATGTTTTCTCAGAGCGAGTGCTACAGTCAATGTGTTGGTAGAACTTCGGTAGCATTTTCCTCAAATTGCTTTGTTAAAATCCCCAGCTACAATAAATGTGGCCTCAGGATAAGTGGTTTCCAGTTTGCATAAAGTCCAGTGTAGCTCTTTGAGGGCCGTCGTGGTATCGGCTTCAGGGGGAATATACACGGTTGTGACTATAGCCGAAGAGAACTCTCTTGGGAGGTAATATGGTCGGCATTTGATTGTGAGGTATTCTAGGTTGGGTGAACAAAAGGACTTGAGTTTCTGTATGTTATCACAATCACACCATGAGTAGTTAATCATGAAACAAACACCCCCACCTTTCTTCTTCCCGGAGAGTTCTTTATTCCTGTCTGTGGGATGTACTGAGAACCCAACTGACGGAGACAGTATATCCCGAGAGAGCCATGTTTCCGTGAAACAGAGTATGTTACAATCCCTGATGTCTCTCTGGAAGGAGATTCTCGCCCTGAGCTAGTCTACTTTATCCAGAGACTGAACATTAGCGAGTAATATACTCGGAAGCGATGGTGTGCGCGCCTCCTGAGTCGGACTAGAAGTCCACTCCGGATACCTCTTCTCCGCCGGCAGTGTTTAAGATCAGCCTCTGGAATCAGTTAAATTGCCCTGGGGGGTACGAACAAAGGATCCAATTCAGGAAAGCCGTATTCCTGGTCGTAATGCTGGTGGGGTACCGCCGCTCTGATATCCAAAAGTTATTTCCGGCTGTTTGTAATAAAACAAAACATTTCTGGGCTAATAATGTAAGAAATAACACACAAAAAAACAAAAATTCTGCAAAGTTGCTTAGGAGCTAGAAGCAGAGCTGCCCTATCTGTCGGCGCCATCTTACAATACCCCATCTAGCAGGTTGGTATAGCAGCTTGAGCTAGGGAGAGATTGTAAAAAAACAGGCAGCACATACTCTGAGGGCATGGCTAGGGATGCCGTCTGGGCCGGCAGCCTTGCGAGGGTTAACACGTTTGAATGACTTCCATACGTCCTCAGTGGAGACTGTGAGTGTGTAGCCCACGTTGTCATCAGGGGCTCTCCTCGGCAGCTCAGGGTCGTTGTGCTCGAATCTTGAGAAAAAGGTTTGTAGCTCGTCCGGTAGGGTGGCGTTGGTGCCCGTGATGTGGCGGGCTTTCTTTTTGTAATCCGTGATCGTTGGGAGCCCCTGACACATACGCCTTGTGTCTGACCCACTGAATTGCGCCTCCACTTCGTACCTATACCTGTGTTTTGACATCTTGATTGCTCTGCGTAGGTCGTATTTGTACTGTTTAACCAAACTATTGTCCCCGGTCACCTTGCCCTTTTTATAAGCAGCATTTCTCTCTTTCAGTTTTCCTACAAGGCTGGTATCAATCCGTTATCTCCAGAGGCGACCAGGAACATATTCCAGTCCACGTGATAAAAACAGTCTTGGAGCGTGAATTTTGATTGGTCGGACCAACGCTGTATATACCTGACCACCGGAACTTCCCTCTTGAGTCTTTGTTTGTAGGCGGGGAGAAGCAAGACGGAGTGGAGTCACGGTCGGATTTTCCGAAAGAAGGATGAGAGAGGGCCTTACACCTGTGTCGAAAAAGGCGTGTAGCAGTGGTCAAGAGTAGAATTTCTGCAAGTTAGACAGTCGATGTGTTGGTAATAATTTGGGAGCACGGTTCTCAAATTACTTTTTTGTTAAAGTCCCCCACAACAATGAACGCTGCCTCTGGGAATGGGGTCTCCAGTTTGTTCAGGGTCCAATGAAGATCTTTGAGAGCATTTTTGGTGTCGGCTTGGGACGGGATGTACACAGCCATGGCGAAAATCCCTGAGAACTCTCTCGGAAGGTAAAAAGGACAAAATTTGATGACCAAGTATTCCAAGTCGGGGGAGCAGAAGCTGAAGCTCACAAGTTCCTGTAGATTTCCATCGTCGTGTTGTTGGTCATAAAGCAGAGCCTTGCTCAGAGAGAGCCCGCTGCCTATCTGAACAAAAAACTGTAAAACCGGATGGTTGTATATAAACGGTTTGGATGTCGGAGGAAAGTCTCAGAAAATTGGAGTATGTTGCAGGATCTGATGTCCCTCTGGAAGGAGAGCCTCACTCTGATCTGATGTCCCTCTGGAAGGAGAGCCTCACTCTGAGTTCATCAAGTTTGTTCATTAGTGATTGAACATTGGTGAGTAGTATGCTGGGTAATGGAGGACAGTAGCATGCTGGGTAATGGAGGACAGTAGTATGCTCTGTAATGGAGGACAGTAGTATGCTCTGTAATGGAGGACAGTAGCATGCTGGGTAATGGAGGACAGTAGTATGCTGGGTAATGTAGGACAGTAGTATGCTCTGTAATGGAGGACAGTAGTATGCTGGGTAATGGAGGACAGTAGCATGCTGGGTAACGGAGTATGTCTCCCGAGTGGCGCAGTGGTCTAAGGCACTGCATCGCAGTGCTAGCTGTGCCACTAGAGATCCTGGTTCAAATCCAGGCTCTGCTGTAGCTGGCCGCAACCGGGAGACCAATGGGGCGGCGCACACCACTGGCCCCAGCGTCGGCCAGGGTAGGGAGGGTGGCCGGACAGGGCAGGGTAGATCAGTTTGGTAGTAGAGCATGGAGTTTGCAACGCCAGCCGGTAGTGGGTCGTTCCCACGCGGGGTGCCAGTACTGAAAATAGGAAAAAGAATTAATGTATGCACTAACTGTTAAGTCGCTCTGGATAAGAGCGTCTGCTAAATGAAGTTAAATTAAAATGTAATGTAGATGGGTAATGGAGGACAGTGTAATGCTGGGTAATGGAGGACCGTTTAGCATGGCTGGGGTAAATGGAGGACAGTAGTCATGCTGGGTGGTAAGGTAGGGCCCAGTAGTCAGGCTGGGTATATGGCGGACAGTGTATGCGGGGGTTAATGGGGATGATAGTAGTTCTGATGGGTATGGAGGACAGTAGTATGCTGGGTAATGGAGGCACAGTAGTACTGCTGGGGAATGGAGGACAGTAGTATGGCCTGGGTATATGGCAGGACGTAGTAGATGGCGTAAGGGGACAGTAGTATGCTGCTGGTAATGGAGGACGGTAGTATGCTGGGTATGGGGAGGGACAGTAGTATGCTGGGTAATGGAGGGAAGTAGCTATGCTGGTAATGGAGGAAAGTATATGCTCTGTAATGGAGGACCGTAGCAGTTAGTATGCTGGGTAATGGAGGACAGTAGTATGCTGGGTAATGGAGGGACAGTAGTATGCTCTGTAAAGGAGGAACAGTTAGTATGCTGGGGGTAATGGAGGACAGTAGTATGCTGGGTAATGGAGGAAAGTAGTATGTGAGAATGGAGGACAGTAGTATGCTGGTAATGGCAGGAACACAGTAGGATGCTGGGTAATGGAGGACAGTAGTATGCTGGGTAATAGAGAGGACACAGTAGTATGAGGGTATGGAGGGACGTAGCATGCTGGGTAGTGGAGGACAGAAGTATGCTGGTGGTAATGAGAGGACAGTAGCTATGCTGGGTAATGGAGGACAGTAGAGTAGTATGATGGGAATGGAGGACAGTAGTACGCTGGTAATTAATGGAGAACAGTAGTAGGCGGCGTAATGGAGGACCCAGTTGTATGCTCGGTAATGGAGGGACAGTAGTATGCTGGGGTAATGGAGGACAGTAGTCTATGCTGGGTTAATGTAGGCAGTAGTATGATCTGTAATGGAGGACAGTAGGTTCATGCTGGGTAATGGAGGGACAAGCTATAGTATGCTGGGGTAATGAGGAAAGAAGTTAAGCATGGCTGGGGATAATGGAGGACAGAAGATGATGGGTAAGGTAAATGGAGTGACGCTAGCATGCTTGCTGTAATGGAGGACAGTAGGCGAGCTGGGTAATGGAGGACCGTAGGATGTGGGGAATGGATGACGTAGTATGCTGCGGTCATGGAAGGACATCGTATGCTGGGTAATGGAGGGACAGTAGTATGCCGGGTTAATGGAGGGACAGTAGTATGGCTGTGTTTAACTGGAGGACAGTTAGTTATGCTATGTAATGGAGGACATGTAGTATGCGGGTAATGGAAGGGACAGTAGTAGGTGGGTAATGGAGGACAGTTAGTATGCTGTGGCTAATGGGGACAGTAGCATGCTGGGTAATGAGGACAAGTATATGCTGGGTAATTGGAAGTACGTAGTCTGTGAGGTAATGGAGGGACAGAGTAGTATGCCTGGCTAATGGAGGACAGAGTATGTGGGTACTGGAGGACAGTAGTATGCGGGGTGGTAATGGAGGACAGTAGTTATGCTGCCGGTACTGGAAGGACAGACAGTATGATGGGAATGGATGGACAGTAGTGCTGGGTAAATGGAGGCACAGTAGTATGTGGGTAATGGAGGACAGAAGTCTGCTGGGGTAATGGAGGACAGTAGCATGCTGGGTAGGAGGACAGAGTTATGCTGGTGTTTAATGGAGGACAGTAGCATGTATGGGTAATGGAGGGACAGAGTATGCTGGGTAATGGGGGACGTTAGTATGCGGGTAATGGAGACGAAGTATGCTGGGTAATGGATCGGGACAGTATCATGCTGGGTAATAGGGAGGACAGTAGTAAGCTGGGTTTAATGGAGGCGACAGGTAGTAATCGTATGCGGGGTATTGGGGACCTTAGTTAGGATTGCTGCGGGAATGGGAGGACAGTAGTCATGATGGGTAATGGAGGAAAGTAGCATGTGGTAATGGAGCGACAGTAGTACTGGGGTAATGGAGGACAGTAGATGCTCGTACATGGAGGACGTAGTATGTGGCGTAATGGAGGATTCAGTAGTATGCTGGGTAATGGGGGACAGTTAGTATGATGGGAATGGAATAACAGTCATCCATATGATTGTAATTGTAATAGACATAAGGCATGCTCATAGAAAAAAAAAAAAAAACGTCCCTCAACTATCTTAAAGTCACTGACCGCCCATGGATTTACCTGCTGTCCAACTGTCTTCAGCTAGAATCTGCTAGAAAAGGTTCTGACCTATACCTGCTGTCCAACTGTCTTCAGCTAGAGCAGGGTATGTCCCAGTCAGTACTTTACCTTCACAGTTGTCACCATAGAATCCTTGGGTACATGTGCAGTTGTAACTCCCAGAGCCGGTGTGTTCACAGATCTGGTGGTTCTCACAGCCCTCCCCCTCACAGGACACTGCCAGACAGACAAGAGGACCAGCTACTTTAGTTTATACCATAACCTTGGCCTAGGGCAACACAGTGTGTGATGCCAAAACACATAAAGAACAGGCAAGTACTATACTTTTAAACAAGTTTTTGGAATTAAAAAAAAAAAGCTTAGGAAATGATGAACTCTGATCTGAGAAAGACATTTATCACATACAAGATGTCCACTGTTCTTTTGTGTTTGACTGAGAGAGGTGGTTCTGTCAATAGACTCCAAGCTGATTCAACGTTTCTTATGGAAAATTATTCTGTCTGGCAAAACCATAGATGTTCTGATGACCAACATTCAAATGACCTACAAGCACATAGCTCAGCTCTTACCTGTTTGATTTTCAGTTTGAGGAGTAGACGACGAATTCACTTGGGCCGACACCAACTCTATGAAAGAAAATACGAAAGGTTGAGGCTTTCTAGCTAATTGTAAGAATTGTTCAGACAGTTATAAGGATAGTGTGCCAACATACTACGCCACAGCATTAGCACAGAAAGTAAGCTCTTTCTTTCTCCCTGTGTTGCTCTTAGTGGAGAAGCCCAGAGACCTGGCCTCAGCTCTCAGCCATTAGCTAACCATGATACCACGGTATACGGTGTTACCACGGTAATAAACCACGGTGTGGTTGCTGAGGTTCTGAAAACAGGCGACGCCGCAAAGCCTTTCAACAAACCACCAGGTCACTCTTTTTTTATTTATTTAACCTTTATTTAACTAGGCAAGTCAGTTAAGAACAAATTCTTATTTACAATGACGGCCTACACCGGCCAAACCCGGACGAGGCTGGGCCAATTGTGCGCCGCCCCTATGGGACTCCCAATCACGGCCGGTTGTGATTTACAGCCTGGAATCGAACCAGGGGGGTCTGTAGTGACGCCTCAAGCCTCTAACACGGAGCTCCTAGCCGCTCTCAGGGTGCTCCCAAACTGCACCTTATTCCGTATACAGTACACTACTTACCATGGGCCCTGGTCAAAAGTAGTGCACTATAAAGGGAATATAATTCCATTTGGGATGTAACCTCACCCATCTCATCCTCCCAGAGTGTCACGGTGTCAGTGTATGCGGTAGACTGAAGTCAGGCACAGGACACAGAACTCAAGGGAAAACGTATCTTTAATAAATCACGTAAAGAAACAAGAAGCCTCCACGCAGGGAGGAATAAACCCGCTCACCAACGACATCCGAGAACAAACAACAAACACGCACAGAACACAATGGGAGCCACAGGGTTAAATAGGGGACGAAGTAATTACAAGATGGGAAACAGGTGTGAAACAATCTGACAACAACAGGTAGAACATAGAAACATAGATCGGCAGCAGCTAGTACTCCGGTGACGACGAACGCCGAAACCTGCCCGAGCAAGGAGGAGGGGCAGCCTCGGCAGGATCCGTGACACAGAGAGAGGTTAGTCAGGTTTCGTTTAATGCCTGCTGTCCCCAGTTGGAAACATGTTCTATTGCAGGAAGCCAAAACAGAGAGCAGAAAGCAGGGCTCGCCGGCCACCTTTGGTAACATTTTATATCACGAACCATTGTTCCAAACATGCAAATTAAACCAGAGAAATGGCAGAGCCGGCATTCACTTGCAGAATCAGAGCAAGATGCATCCCAAATGGCACCCTATTCCCTATATAGTGCACTACTTTAGACCAGAGAACGGCACCCTATTCCCTATATAGTGCACTACTTTAGACCAGAGAACGGCACCCTATTCCCTATATAGTGCACTACTTTAGACCAGAGAACGGCACCCTATTCCCTATATAGTGCACTACTTTAGACCAGAGAACGGCACCCTATTCCCTATATAGTGCACTACTTTAGACCAGAGAACGGCACCCTATTCCCTATATAGTGCACTACTTTAGACCAGAGAACGGCACCCTATTCCCTATATAGTGCACTACTTTAGACCAGAGAACGGCACCCTATTCCCTATATAGTGCACTACTTTAGACCAGAGAACGGCACCCTATTCCCTATATAGTGCACTACTTTAGACCAGAGAATGGCACCCTATTCCCTATATAGTGCACTACTTTAGACCAGAGAATGGCACCCTATTCCCTATATAGTGCACTACTTTAGACCAGAGAATGGCACCCTATTCCCTATATAGTGCACTACTTTAGACCAGAGAACGGCACCCTATTCCCTATATAGTGCACTACTTTTGACCAGGACCCATAGGACCAATGTTGTGTGTCTACTCTCTAACTGGCATAAACTAGCAGAATCAAAGTTAGTGAGTCCCAAATGGCACCCTAGTCCCTAAAGGGAAAGTAAGTAAGCCTTGTCCAAGCCAGAACGACCCATAGGGGCAGGAGCCCCTATCTCCTGATTCTGTAGTGTGAGGCAGCTTGATGTACAAGTACACCCCCCTGGACAGGATGCCAGTCTGTGGGCACTGGTCAAAAATTAGTGCACTATATAGGGAATAGGGTGCCATTTGGGACGCAAGGGGGGTCAGTTGAATAGTACTCCTTCTAAAGAAGAAGGAGAGTTCTATCAGTAGCTCACCTGTCTCGCAGTGTGTTCCGGTGAAGGCAGCAGGACAGGTGCAGGCGTAACCATTCACCTGGTCTTTACACTGCCCTCCATTCAGACAGGGCTGGGAAACACACTCGTCCATGTCTGGATCCACAAACACAACAAAACGTACATGTTATTCAATCCCCAGTCGTTATCTATGTGGGAAACTGAGGATTTTGGAAAAGAGACATTTCCAAGGTAGTAACGGTTCTCTTTCAATGTTTTTGCCACGTCCCAAAATGGCACCCTGTTCCCTATTGTGGTCTAAAGTAGTGCACTATGTAGGGAATAGGGTGTCGTTTGGGACACAGTCAAGGTGTTGAAGCTGTATGCTGACAGACAGCGGTGTGGGTCAACAGTCTGACACGTATGTGAATCACAAATTTAGACCGCATGTTGTCTTTTGGAAAAGCATCCATCCTGTCCGGACGCAATCATAACTTTCCAAGACAGTCCTGGTTTTCAAGATAACCCCGGGAAGGTATTCGGTCTTGGACTTGGTTAAATCATTTTCCACTGGACATGTACTGTAGGGTGTAATTCCCTACGATATCAAAAAAGACACAATGGCAGGGTGAAGAGTAATTAGGGTGAAGAGTAATTAGGTAATTATAATTATAGTAATTAACAGGGCCCAGGTCAAAGTAGTGCACTACATAGAGAACAGGGTTCAATTTGGGATGCGACCTTTCTTTTCAGTTCGGCTTGGATGCAGACTAGTAATTAATGGCCTTCGCCCATCCATCTCTGAACAGAACAGAGCAACACGTGTAGTGTTGTCTGTGTGTGTATATATGTGTGTGTGTGTGTGTGTGTGTGTGTGTGTGTGCGTGTGCGTGTTTGTGTGTTGATCTCCAAGACCAGAGCTGGATCAGGGAACTGAAGTTCCTTTCAGCAGGTGTACTGTTACACTGAACCAGGTGTCTCGTATTAAGGAGTCCTCTCACGTAGGAACTACAGTACAGGTAGACTCTAACAGTTCCCCTTCTTGTTTCATCAATAACCCATCATGTAGTGAGAGACCAGGATGTCACACCGGGTCTGTGTTCCCTAGGGTGGCCATTTGGGACACAGACCATGAAACCAAAGTCACTACACTCCTCAATGTCTCTATTGAAGACAGGTTTGAGTTCCGTGAACTTTAATAGGTCTGCGCACTCTGTGACCCCAGAAAGAACAACCAGATATAATCCAACCGCAATGTGTTTGCAGCTGAACTGTAACCTGCTAAAAGCTATCAATCAGGCCATACAGGCTTGGCTTCATGGGAACTCTCTCTGGATGAAGTAACATCTGTCCGATTGATGATAATTGTAATGTAGAAACCAGAGAGACTGTTTCCCTGGGGAGAGAGATGCCCATACTCCAACCCCTACACCCGAACCCTTCCTGAGAGACTGTGTAGCCCTTTGGCTAACTCACCTGTCTCACACAGAGTGCCAGTGTAGCCCCCCTCACACACGCAGGTGAAATTGTCGACACCTTGTACACATAACGCTCCGTTGAGGCAGGCTCTGTCTTTGCACTTGTCAATGTCTGCAGGCAGAAACACACACACACACACAGACACAGAGAGATAGACACATACACGGGATATTACCAGCTTTAAATTCCGCCACACCTCCCCTAAACCGCAAATATGTCTTGCCCGGGGTGAAAGAGGAAGGAGGAGGAGGGAGGGCAGGAGGGGGGAGGGACGGGAGAGGGGGGAGAGGGAGGGAGGAGAGGGGGGAAGGGAGAGGGGAGGGGGAGGAGAGAGAGTGGGGGAAGAGGAGGGAAGAGGAAGGGGAGGGGGACAGGGTAGGATGAGTAGGGGGAGAGGGGGGACAGAGAGAGGGGAGGGGGACAGGGTAGGACTGAGGAGGGGGGAAGAGAAGGGGAGAAGAAGGGGAGGGGGAGGGGGAACAGCGGTTAGATAAGATGGGGAGAGGAGGGACAGAGAGAGGGGGGGGAAGGGTAGGAAGAGGGGGAGAGGGGACAGAGAGAGGGAGGGGAGGAAAAGGTTGGTGAGAGGGGGGAAGGAGAACGGGAAGGGGGGGCGGTTATAATAGAGATGGGAGAGGGACAGAGAGAGGGGAGGGGTACAGGGTTAGGACTAGGGGGAAGGTGGACAGGTGGGACGGGGCAGGTTTAGGACTCAAGGGGGGGGAACAGGGGGGACCAGGCCGGGTTGGAGAGGGGGGGAAAGAATAGAGGAGAGGAGATTGAAGAGAGGGTAGAGGAGGCCCGATGGCAACACAGGTATGACGGAGAATAGAGGCAGGGTACGGGGGGGAGGGAAGGAGATAGGGGAACGAAAAGGGGGGAAAGGATAAAAGGAGAGGAAGCGAAGAAGGGGAAAAGAGAGGGGTTTTGAGGAAGAGGAAGGGAACAGAGAGAGGAGAGGAGAGGAAGGAAGATGGGGAGAGAGGAGAGGAGAGGAAAAAGAGGAGAGGGAGGAGAGGAAGAGGAGAGGAGAGGAGGAAAGAGGAGAGGAGGAGGAGAGGGGACAGGAAGAGAGAAAGGGGCAGGGAAGGAAGAGGAGAGGATAAAAGGAGTGGGCAAAAGCGAGGAGGAGGGAGTGGAACAGGAATCAGAGAGGAGGGGAGGAACAGAGAAGATTGGAGAGGAGAGAGGAGTGGAACAGAGAAGATCAGAGAGGAGAGAGGAGTGGAACAGAGAAGATCGGAGAGGAGAGAGGAGTGGAACATAGAGGAACAGAGAGGAGAGGGGAGTGGAACAGAGAAGATCAGAGAGGAGAGGGGAGTGGAACAGAGAGGACCAGAGAGGAGAGAGGAGTGGAACAGAGAGGACCAGAGAGGAGAGGGGAGTGGAACAGAGAGGACCAGAGAGGGGAGGGGAGTGGGAACAGAGAGGACCAGAGAGGAGAGGGGAAGTAGAACAGAGAGGAACAGAGAGGAGCTGGGAGTGGAATAGAGAGGACCAGAGAGGAGATGGGAGTGGAACAGAGAGGACCAGAGAGGAGATGGGAGTGGAACAGAGAGGACCAGAGAGGAGATGGGAGTGGAACAGAGAGGACCAGAGAGGAGAGGGGAGTAGAACAGAGAGGACCAGAGAGGAGATGGGGAGTGGAACAGAGAGGACCAGAGAGGAGATGGGAGTAGAACAGAGAGGACCAGAGAGGAGATGGGAGTGGAACATGGTTGTGTGATTGGGGTAAAGGTAGAGCTAGGAGAGAGGGAGGAAGAGAGGGTACTGTACCCGTTTGGCAGACTGTCCCTGTAAACCCAGATGGACATTGGCAGGTGAATCCATTAACCTGGTCTGAGCAGGTACCTCCGTTCTGACAGGGATAGGACGAACACTCATCTACATCTACACACACACACACACACACACACACCACACACACACACACACACACAGAGAGAGCGAGACAGAGAGAGACAGAGATACATGAGGATGAATAGGGTGACTGCAGTATAGGGATGAATAGGGTGACTGCAGTATAGGGATGAATAGGGTGACTGCAGTATAGGGATGAATAGGGTGACTGCAGTATAGGGATGAATAGGGTGACTGCAGTATAGGGATGAATAGGGTGACTGCAGTATAGGGATGAATAGGGTGACTGCAGTATAAACACATACAAGGCAGAATAAACCCAGGATGATTTAGTAGAAGGTTATGAGTTGTCCAAGAGGAGTGTTGCAGAAAGACCTGGTAGGGGGAGTGTTGCAGAAAGACCTGGTAGGAGGAGTGTTGCAGAAAGACCTGGTAGGAGGAGTGTGGCAGAGAGACCTGGCAGGAGGAGTGTGGCAGAGAGACCTGGCAGGAGGAGTGTGGCAGAGAGACCTGGCAGGAGGAGTGTGGCAGAGAGACCTGGCAGGAGGAGGAGAGAGACCTAGCAGTGACCTGGTATGCGTATTACAAGCAGATGTGCCTAAAGGAAATATCTTATCAGGTTGTCCCTTGGCAGGTCAGGTGAAATCCAGCTTTTATAAGCTGACATCCTCTTTCCTGGCGCAGCGGAGCATGGAGCAGAGAGGAGCAGAGCAGGATACCTGAATCCCAAATCAACCCCTAGCCCTTAACCCCTAGCCCCTTAACCCCTAGCCCCTACCCCCAGAGCAGAGCAGAGAGAGGGGTGTGATGAAGATTCCTGAATCCCAAATCATTTGGGATGAATTGGAACGCCGACTGCGAGCCAAGGCCTAATCGTCCAACATCACTAATGCTCTTGTGGCTGAATGGAAGCAAGTCCCTGCAGCAATGTTCGAACATCTAGTGGAAAGCCTTCCCAGAAGAGTGGAGGCTGTTATAGCAGCAAAGGGGGGGACCAACTCCATATTAACGCCCATGATTTTGGAATGAGATGTTCAACGAGCAGGTGTCCACATACCTTTGGTCATGTAGTGTATATATGAACTACGCATTGATACATCCAGCCCAAAGGTAAAAAAAAATACTTACTAGTCACCAAAGTTGCGGAGCATGTCTTTAAACCAATAAAATCCTCTCAGATCTAGGGGTTGTTTCTAAACAGTGTGGCAGAGTTGAGCAGAGTGACTGTGGTCAAAGGTCAAAGTTCACTGACTGACCTATCTGGCACCGTCGTCCGGTGAAGCCAGCTAGACAGGAGCAGGTGAAGGAAGGGTTTCCGGTGATGCAGTCATCAATACAGCGACCTCCATTCAGACAGGGTCGAAGGTGTGGACACACAGACGCTGTGGGGGAGAGACAGAACACCTACAGTTAGTGAGGAGGAGAGATAGAACAGTTAGTTAGTGAGGAGGAGAGATAGAACAGTTAGTTAGTGAGGAGGAGAGAGATAGAACAGTTAGTTAGTGACGAGGAGAGATAGAACAGTTAGTTAGTGAGGAGGAGAGATAGAACAGTTAGTTAGTGAGGAGGAGAGATAGAACAGTTAGTTAGTGAGGAGGAGAGATAGAACAGTTAGTTAGTGAGGAGAGATAGAACAGCTAGTTAGTGAGGAGAGATAGAACAGTTAGTTAGTGAGGAGAAGAGATATAACAGTTAGTTAGTGAGGGGAAGAGATAGAACAGTTAGTGAGGAGAAGAGATAGAACAGCTAGTTAGTGAGGAGAAGAGATAGAACAGCTAGTTAGTGAGGAGAAGAGATAGAACAGCTAGTTAGTGAGGAGAGATAGAACAGTTAGTTAGTGAGGAGAAGAGATAGAACAGTTAGTGAGGAGAAGAGATAGAACAGCTAGTTAGTGAGGAGAAGAGATAGAACAGCTAGTTAGTGAGGAGGAGAAATAGAACAGTTAGTTAGTGAGGAGGAGAGATAGAACAGTTAGTTAGTGAGGAGGAGAAATAGAACAGTTAGTTAGTGAGGAGGAGAGATAGAACAGTTAGTTAGTGAGGAGAAGAGTTAGAACAGCTAGTTAATGAGGAGGAGAGATATAACAGTTAGTTAGTGAGGAGGAGAGATAGAACAGCTAGTTAGTGAGGAGAGATAGAACAGCTAGTTAGTGAGGAGGAGAAATAGAACAGCTAGTTAGTGAGGAGGAGAGATAGAACAGTTAGTTAGTGAGGAGGAGAGATAGAACAGTTAGTTAGTGAGGAGGAGAGATAGAACAGCTAGTTAGTGAGGAGGAGAGATAGAACAGCTAGTTAGTGAGGAGAAGAGATAGAACAGCTAGTTAGTGAGGAGAAGAGATAGAACAGTTAGTTAGTGAGGAGGAGAGAGATAGAACAGTTAGTTAGTGAGGAGAGATAGAACAGCTAGTTAGTGAGGAGGAGAGATATATGCTAGTTGAGGGTTCTATTACTCTATACCATTCTCTCAGAACCATTAACCCTATTCGCCATTGTCTTACGTCATGCAGCGTCACTCCTACAAAACGCTAGTCCCAACCAGCTTGACCTAAGACAATGGGGGATATGTTATATCAGTGCAGACGAATGTTGTGTCATCTGAAATAAGACAATGCCCTATCAAATAAAATCAAAATCATCTCCCAATTATTAAAGTGCATTTAACAAAGTCACAACACACTTAACATAAAAATAAATAAAAAAATAAAAAACTAATGATTAAATATCCATCCTATCCCTCTTCCATATTACCAGAGGTGTTGCATCCGCCCACCTCCACCTGGGCGTTGTCGATACGGAACACCCATCTCCCGGGGTAACCCACGTTGGTGGTTCCCTCCACGTCCACCACGTCATCGGTACGAGACCCGGGGATGTTGAAATAACGTTTCCCGTCGCCAGCGTTAAAACCTGCCTAGGAGGAGAGAGACACCGAGTTACAGTTCAGAGTGATGCTGAAGAGACCACCCTTAAAGACATGCTCCGGACGGAACTTTGATGACTACTAAGTCATTTTTTAAACCACCCACTTTGGGCTGGATGTGCCAATGTGTAGTTCATACATGCATAATCTATGAGCAGATTTAGTGTTTTACCTCAATTAGCCACAAAATCCCTAGTTTGAAAGCGATTGTTTTTTTCTGGAAGCTGTGCTGTGGGGATTTTCCCTACATTTTCCCCCATGTGGGTCAGCCCCCTAGCAATTCCAGGTCTAGACAATGAGCTTCAGCCCCTCGTAATTTGAGTGACAGCTAGCGAGATTCACACACAGTAGAGCGAGGGAGAAAGCAATGACGTCGTGCACATATCTGCACATATGTTACCTAGTAGGCAATTTCCGGGGACCACTATTGGCTCGTGAGCGCTACTTTCAGAACTACTGGCTAAAAGATATACAAAAGTACTGGAGAATCTCTTTAATCTGTGTCCCAAGGGCCAGTAAATGCACTTTATAGGGAATATAGGGTGCACAACCTTACACCTAGGGTAGAACAAGTGGGATACTTCATCTAAATCGCCTTATAGGTCTATATATATTTTCTGTTGTATTTTCTGTTGTATTTTCTGTTGTATTTTTGACTTTATGTTTTTTTACCCCATATGTAACTCTGTGTTGTTTTTATCGCACTGCTTTGCCTTATCTTGGCCAGGTCGCAGTTGTAAATGAGAACTTGTTCTCAACTGGCTTACCTGGTTAAATAAAGGGGAAATAAAAAAAATAAAAAAAATATGAGCTGTCTGAATACATTTCTAATTACAATTCAAACATGCAATCAGGTTGTATCAAAACCGTTTGATAGCTAGCTACTAAAACACCTCAATGAAAACTCCCATCAGAGAGCAAAAACAAACCCTGCATGAGTTCCAAAGGAAGCTCACGGTCTCAATGGCCAGCCAATGCCATGTTGTCTGAGAATTTTAATTCAACCTGAAATCGCAATCTCAAATTTCCAAGTCCCTAACCCTAAGAGGCCCAAATCCGGGTGAAGCATTCTATTGTTTCCTCGTGGGACTGCTTGTATATACACTGAGTGTACAAAACATTAGGAACACCTTTCCTAATATGAGTTGCACCCCCACCTTTTGCCCTCAGAACAGCCTCAATTCGTCATGGCCTGGACTCTACAAGGTGTCGAAAGCGTTCCACAGGGATGCTGGCCCATGTTGACTCCAGTAATTCCCACAGTGTGTCAAGTCGGCTGGATGTCCTTTTGGTGATGGACCATTCTTGATACACACAGGAAACTGTTGGGCGTGATTAACCCAGCAGCGTTGCAGTTCTTGACACAAACCGGTGCGCCTGGCACCTTCTACCATACCCCGGCAATTACATTTTTAGTCTTGCCCATTCACCCTCATACACAATCCATGTCTCAATTGTCTCAAGGCTTTAAAAAAATACTTATTTAACCCCTTCATCTACACTGATTGAAGTGGATTTTACTAGTAACATCAATAAGGGATCATAGCTTTCACCTGGATTCACCTGCTCAGTTACATAAGTATTCACACCACTGAGTCAATACATGTTAGAATTACCTTTGGCAGCGATTACAGCTGTGAGTCTTTCTGGGTAAGTCTCTAAGAGTTTTCCACACCTGGATTCTGCAATATTTGCACATTATTATTATTTTTAATTCTTCAAGCTCCGTCAAATTGGTTCTTGATCATTGCTAGACAGCCATTTTCAGGTCTTGCCATAGATTTTCAAGCAGATTTAAGTCAAAACTGTAACTAGGCCACTCAGGAACATTCATTGTCTTCTTGCTAAGCAACTCCAGTGTAGATTTGTCATTGTGTTTTAGGTTATTGTCCTGCTGAAAGTAGAATTAATCTCCCAGTGTCTGGTGGAAAGCAGACTGAACCAGGTTTTCCTCTAGGATTTTGCCTGTGCTTAGCTCCATTCCGTATCTTATTTTATCCTAAAACACTCCCCAGTCCTTAACAATTACAAGCATACCCATACCATGAGTCACTCACCACCTTCCGGAGACATTTGAAACCCCACCTCTTTAAGGAATACCTGGGATAGGATAAAGTAATCCTTCTACCCCCCCCCCCCCCCCCCCCCCCCCCTTACCCCACCCCACCCCCCCAAAAAAACAAAAAACATTGTAAAGTGGTTATCAAATCAAATCAAATCAAATTGTATTGGTCACATGCGCCAAATGCAACAGGTGCAGACATTACAGTGAAATGCTTACTTACAGCCTTTAACCAACAGTGCATTTATTTTTAACAAAAAAAAGTAAAAATAAAACAACAACAAAAAGAGTGTTGAGAAAAAAAGAGCAGAAGTAAAATAAAATAACTGTAGGGAGGCTATATATACAGGGGGGCTACCGGTGCAGAGTCAATGTGCGGGGGCACCGGCTAGTTGAGATAGTTGAAGTAATATGTACATGTGGGTAGAGTTAAAGTGACTATGCATAAATAATTAACAGAGTAGCAGCAGCGTAAAAAGGATGGGGTGGGGGGGCAGTGCAAATAGTCCGGGTAGCCATGATTAGCTGTTCAGGAGTCTTATGGCTTGGGGGTAGAAGCTGTTGAGAAGTCTTTTGGACCTAGACTTGGCACTCCGGTACCGCTTGCCGTGCGGTAGCAGGAGAACAGTCTATGACTAGGGTGGCTGGAGTCTTTGACAATTTTGAGGGCCTTCCTCTGACACCACCTGGTATAGAGGTTCCTGGATGGCAGGAAGCTTGGCCCCAGTGATGTACTGGGCCGTACGCACTACCCTCTGTAGTGCCTTGCGTTCGGAGGCCAAGCAGTTGCCATACCAGTGCGGTGATGCAACCAGTCAGGATGCTCTCGATGGTGCAGCTGTAGAATTTTTTGAGGATCTGAGGACCCATGCCAAATCTTTTCAGTCTCCTGAGGGGGAATAGGCTTTGTCGTGCCCTCTTCACGACTGTCTTGCTGTGTTTGGACCATGATAGTTCTTTGGTGATGTGGACACCAAGGAACTTGAAGCTCTCAACCTGTTCCACTACAGCCCCGTCGATGAGAATGGGGGCGTGCTCAGTCCTCTTTTTTTTCCTGTAGTCCACAATCATCTCCTTTGTCTTGGTCACGTTGAGGGAGAGGTTGTTGTCCTGGCACCACACGGCCAGGTCTCTGACCTCCTCCCTATAGGCTGTCTCATCGTTGTCGGTGATCAGGCCTACCACTGTTGTGTCGTCGGCAAACTTAATGATGGTGTTGGAGTCGTGCCTGGCCATGCAGTCATGGGTGAACAGAGAGTACAGGAGGGGACTGAGCACGCACCCCTGAGGGGCCCCCGTGTTGAGGATCAGTGTGGCAGATGTGTTGTTACCTACCCTTACCACCTGGGGGCGGCCCGTCAGGAAGTCCAGGATCCAGTTGCAGAGGGAGGTGTTTAGTCCCAGGATCCTTAGCTTAGTGATGAGCTTAGAGGGCACTATGGTGTTGAATGCTGAGCTGTAGTCAATGAATAGCATTCTCACGTAGGTGTTCCTCTTGTCCAGGTGGGAAAGGGCAGTGTGGAGTGCAATAGAGATTGCATCATCTGTGGATCTGTTGGGGCGGTATGCAAATTGGAGTGGGTCTAGGGTTTCTGGGATAATGTTGTTGATGTGAGCCATGACCAGCCTTTCAAAGCACTTCATGGCTACAGACATCAGTGCTACGGGTCGGTAGTCATTTAGGCAGGTTATCTTAGAGTCCTTGGGCACGGGGACTATGGTGGTCTGCTTGAAACATGTTGGTATTACAGACTCAGTCAGGGACATGTTGAAAATGTCAGTGAAGACACTTGCCAGTTGGTCAGCACATGCTCGGAGTACACGTCCTGGTAATCCGTCTGGCCCTGTGGCCTTGTGAATGTTGACCTGCTTAAAAGTCTTACTCACATCGGCTACGGAGAGCGTGATCACATAGTCATCCGGAACAGCTGGTGCTCTCATGCATGCTTCAGTGTTGCTTGCCTCGAAGCGAGCATAGAAGTGGTTTAGCTCGTCTGGTAGGCTTGTGTCACTGGGCAGCTCGCGGCTGTGCTTCCCTTTGTCGTCTGTAATCGTTTTCAAGCCCTGCCACATCCGACGAGCGTCAGAGCCAGTGTAGTACGATTCAATCTTAGCCCTGTATTGACTCTTTGCCTGTTTGATGGTTCGTCGGAGGGCATAGCGGGATTTCTTATAAGCGTCCGGGTTAGAGTCCCGTTCCTTGAAAGCGGCAGCTCTACCCTTTAGCTCAGTGCGGATGTTTCCTGTAATCCATGGCTTCTAGTTGGGGTATGTACGTACGGTCACTGTGGGGACGACATCATCGATGCACTTATTGATGAAGCCAGTGACTGATGTGGTGTACTCCTCAATGCTGTCTGTGTCACGGTCGTCTAAGAGCGAAGGAGACCAAGGCGCAGCGTGTGCAAGAAACATGACTTTATTAATTAAAGTTTCGAACTACAAACAAAAGACGACTCATGAAGTCCACGGTACACCGACCGAAACGGAACAAAAACCCACAACACCCAAAGGAAAACATACAGATAAATATGGCTCCCAATCAGAGATAACGAGCCGACAGCTGACACTCGTTACCTCCGATTGGGAGTCACATGACTACACAAGAACTAACCAAAACCACACACACCCAAATGAACACACCCTATTCCCAACCTAACCAAAACAAACCCCCACAAAACGAATACACCCTGGCTCAAATACAAGTCCCGGAGCCAGAGTGTGACAGTACCCCCCCCTAAAGGCGCGGACTGCGACCGCGCCTCAACTAGGGCTAACCAAGGGAGGGCTGGGTGGGCATACCTCTTCGGCGGTGGTTCTGGCTCTGGTCGTGGTCCCCACCCCACCATAGTCACTACCCGCTTCCGTAGCCTCCTCCAACTGACCACCCTCCAACTTAACCCCACCGGATTAAGGGGGCAGC